TTATTCTTGTGTTTCCAAAGCTGTTAGATTTCAAAGCTACTGATCCTTATCTTCTTTCCTTAACTTTTCTTCTGCTCATCTTTTCTGTTTACAGGTTTGTAAATCCATTGAACTGTTTACTTAATGCTCTTTTACCATCTGTCGGTTTGTACAACATTTGTAATTTTTGATCATCAGCTCATTGCATGATTATAACGTGCGTTACTTAATGTATGTGTTACATCAGCTGGGATCAGGGTTTAGATATCAGTGACACCAGCATTATTTACTGAGCCTTTGAGACATTCAAAGCTCACCTGTCTGTCCTGGAATATAGATAGGTTTATCAGTCTGGATAAAGGTCAGAGGATAGTAAGGCTTGAACATGACTTTTCTCTCTTCAGTCATCTTGAAAGTTTTTCCCAGTAGTTCGACCTTCATTTTCTGCACTGATTCTGCTTCGACCAGAGGAGCCTGATGAGAAATAATATACTGTATTTACAACCTGCCATCACAAAAACTAGATGCGATATGGTGAAATAAATTTGATAATAATCATGTGTATGTTTTGATGGCACACCTTGAAGTTAAAGCAGCGGTGAAACTCTTCCTCAGCTTTCTCCTGCAGCAGTAAAGTGCTCTGGTTACCATGAACCAGATGAATATTCATGACAAGGCTTTCATTGGGCTTGAGAAGACTTGCACAGAGTTTGGCCTCAGATCCAGAAGCGATCACTGCAGGAAACGTCACCATGAAAGATCTGTTGAAATATAATGATCATAGAATATTGCATGAGTGGTTAGATACAATAAGAAACACAAAAAAATTAAACTGGGGGTTAAAATAAATCAAGTAAATTTGCTATCGATCAATTAGTCCTATTTGAGAAGTGGAGAATACAAGAGCAAACTGTGTAATGAAGTGAATGGTGAATTAATTCTATGTTTATTCAGAACTATATTGCTCTTGAAAATACACTGTCATTAATTATGAATAATGTTATAAACATGCCGTAAGTTGTCTTTCAAACAGCAAACCTCTACCTAACTGTGCAACACAGATCAGTTCAATCAATAAAAAATTCAATCATCAAGACTTATCTTACACAACGACATTAACAACAACGAGAAAAAGTTTGTCGAGACAAACTTTAAGTTGGCTTGTGAAAATTTGGCCCAAAAGATTGAAGAAGTTTAAAAGTAGAAAAGAAAGAAAGAAATATAGAAAGAAAGATTAGTTAGAAAGAAAGAAAGATAGATTAGTTAGAAAGAAAGAAAGATAGATTAGTTAGAAAGAAAGAAAGATTAGTTAGAAAGAAAGATTAGTTAGAAAGAAAGATAGATTAGTTAGAAAGAAAGATAGATTCGTTAGAAGGAAAGATAGATTAGTTAGAAAGAAAGATAGATTAGTTAGAAAGAAAGATAGATTAGTTAGAAAGAAAGATTAGTTAGAAAGAATAAAAAGATTAGTTAGAAAGAATAAAAAGATTAGTTAGAAAGAATAAAAAGATTAGTTAGAAAGAATAAAAAGATTAGTTAGAAAGAGATAGATAGATAGTTAAAAAGAGATAGATAGATAGTTAGAAAGAGATAGATAGATAGTTAGAAAGAGATAGATAGATAGTTAGAAAGAGATAGATAGATAGTTAGAAAGAGATAGATAGATAGATAATTAGAAAGAGATAGATAGATAGATAGATAGATAGATAGATAGATAGATAGATAGATAGATAGATAGATAGATAGATAGATAGATAGAAAAAGATAGATAGAAAGAGAGAGTTAGAAAGAGATAGGTGTTTAGATTTGAATTTTTGGCAGTTGGGGAGTTTGAAAATCTGAACATTCCGCAATAGACCAACGCTACTTTTGCGTCATCGAAGGGTAACGCCCCTTTTTGGGGGAAAACAAACGGATTCCCCTGAGAACAGAACTCGCTCTAGAGCTGCTAAGTTTCTTAAATGGCACAAACATACACACTCTCTTTGCCGGCCGAGGACCGTGAGCGGTATTTAAATAAGCTACTGGATACGGGGTTACAGAGGTGTCCCTTTGAAATAGTCGAAAACTGGATTAATGACCCCACGCAGTGGCCAAAAATGGACAATTCAGACATCTAACGTTACCACTATCTCGTGGAATCACCAAGTAAGTAACGTTAGACTATTTTTTTTTGTCATTAACACACTCACAGTATGACAAACTAGACGATGAGGCCATGTCACTTGGATCATATTTAACTTGATTTAAACTATTGACATAGTTTTGTTGTCGACTAGCTATACTATACTGTTGAAATAGTGGTAGGCTAGGACTAAAGTGGACTTGGCTGGTTTCTACTTTGTGTCTAGAAAGTGCTAGGACTTTGAAAGTTGTAAAAAGGTTTACAGTGTACGGCAAAATATGTATAGGACCAATGTATGTATGTACGGGGCTATCAAATTGGATGTTGTGACATTACGCTATCCTATATAGCCTAGAAGGCTTGATCCACTGCCGTTCGTGTTGTTTCATGTAGCCCAGAGCAGTGCTCGTCGAAAAGTCATATAGGCCTAAAGCACTTTCTAGACACAAGCAGAAACCAGCCAAGTCCACTTTAGTCCTAGCCTGCCACACAGCCAAGGTAGCGTGCCTAGTGAGAGCTAACGTTAATCACATAACGTTAGCTGCTAGCAGCTCTGTCTTTCTAACTAACGTTAGTATAGCTAGTCGACAACAAAACTATGTCAATAGCTTAAATCAAGTTAAATATGATACAAGTGACATGGCCTCATCGTCTAGTTTGTCATACTGTGAGTGTGTTAATGACAAAAAAAATAGGCTAACGTTACTTACTTGGTGATTCCACGAGATGGTGGTAACGTTAGATGTCTGAATAGTCCATATATTGGCCACTGCGTGGGGTCATTAGTCCAGTTTTCGACCATTTCAAAGGGACACCTCTGTAACCCCGTATCCAGTAGCTTCTTTAAGTTTGTGCCATTTTTGCTATCAAGAAACTTAGCAGCTCTAGAGCGAGTTCTGTTCTCAGGGGAATCCGTTTGTTTTCCCCCAAAAGGGGGCGTTACCCTTCGATGACGCAAAAGTAGCGTTGGTCTATGTTAAGTCAATGGGATTTTCAAATGTTTTTCTCCGAGTTTTGATCGTCATTTTTAGGAAAACCGTAAGTCCGATCAGTTAGAATAGAAAAGATATAGCACCTCGAGTCAGAACAGTTGAGTGTCCGAGCCGAGTTTGGAGTATGGAGTTAAAGCTCTAGTAGGCTACCCCTTTTCCACCAACAAGAACCGGGTGCTGGTTCGGAGCCAGAGCCAGAGCTGGTTCGGAGTTGGTTCTACTGACAAGCTTACTAAGAACCGGTTTGCCTTTCCACCGGCTAGAGAGCCACAACAGAGCCAGATCTTACGTCACTGCATACGTCTCATGTTGCCCAGCAACGCTAGTGCGGTAGCGCCAAACACAAATACGCCAGGCTTGTTCGAGGTGTATCGGCTTCTCGCAGATCGATCGCCGCATGACATCAAAGCACTGCGAAAGCGATCCAAAAGCACAAGGAGTCGTATGATCTCCAAACACTCCCGCAGCTCCGATCGGTCCGTGCCGCTCCGATGCATCTCGAACAAGCCATAAACAATAACGGACGTTGCGTTACTATGGATGCTCATGGTTTTGCAAAAATACATCGGAATCCAACGCGTTTGTGCAGCTCGCCGTAACTTACATAGACGGATATTATAATCAAGCTGCTATTAGCTCGACTAGCTGCTATTTAAAAATGGCGGTCACAAGTTTATATTCGTCTTGTTGGTCACGGTAACCCCGCCCCCAGCCCCTGACGCAAGCGGTTCTTACTTGGCTCTGTTCTAGACCAGCAATGATTTGGTGCTACTTAAAGGAGAACTCCGGCGCAAAATGAACCTTTGGTCTAATTGACCGTTCGCAGGCCCCTCCCCCAAAACGGCTATTGTCCAATCACACATCATAGCAACCGTTACTATGTGAGCATGTCCGTCAAACATTGACTCCAAGCAAGATGGTGAAGCGGTGCGCCCACGGCGTTTGTAAATCGGACACTAGATACCCCGAGAGATTGTCTGAAGGAGTTCTGTTCTTTCCGTTTCAAAAGCCGAAAACACAACGTGTGCGGTCCATACAATGGATAAAACAGTGTGGACGGCCCCACTCCCAGTTAATAGGGGTATAACGGTACGTGTATTCGTACCGGACCGTTTCGGTACAGGACTTTCGGTTCGGTGCGCATGCAATTTTGAACTTCCGTCAAATCTGAGTTTCCACACGGACATATTAAGTGTCGGATGTCTCCGCGCTGCACTTGCGGATCATACACGGCACGCTTTAGCCCAGCCTCTCGCTAGCGTCATGGCCAATGCAGACAAGCCAGAGCTTGAAGAACCACCCATATCATTAAAGTCTCCTGTCTGGGAACACTTCGGTTTCCCAGTGAAATACGTAGACGGACAAAGACTAGTCGATAAGACGAAAGCAGTGTGCCGACATTGCTCAGTAACGATCGGGTATGTAGCTGGAAACACATCAAACTTGTTAACGCACTTGAAAAGGCATCACGCGAATGTGAACATCACTACTACGAGGAAAAAAACGAGCATAGTTCAAACGCAGCTCCCGTTGGCATTTAAACAGACCTTTGCTGGTAATTCCGATCGGGCTAAAGCAATAACAAATGCAATTGGTGTTTTCATAGCAGCTGATCTACGCCCATACTCGGTTGTGGAGAACACTGGTTTTAAGCACATGATGAAGGTGACTGAGCCCAGGTATGAAATTCCATCTCGTCCACATTTCAGCCAAAAAGTTATACCCGCCCTTTATGAACAGGTTAAAACTACTGTTGTCCACGAGCTGTCCAAGGCATCTGCTGTAGCACTCACAACTGATGGATGGACATCTAGAGCTACTGAGAGCTACTTAACAGTGACTGCCCATCACATTACTCCAGAGTGGAACATGGTAAGCCATGTTCTGCAAACCAACCCCATTTATGAACAACACACAAGCACAAATCTGGCAGAGGGACTTAAGGAGACAGTGTTTGAGTGGAAGTTGGAGAGGCCAGGAACTACAATTCCTGTCACAACAGACAATGCAAGGAATATTGTCAATGCAGTCAGTGAAGCTGGACTGGGCCCTCAAATTGGATGTTTTGCACACACAATTAATTTAGCATCACAGAAAGCAACAGGTCTCAACCAGGTGTCCAGAGTGCTAGGTAGAGTCAGAAGGGTTGTGTCTTTTTTTCACCGTAGCCCAACAGCAGCACATATATTGGAGAGCAAACAGGAAATGCTTAATATTCCAAAACACACCCTTATTCATGATGTCACCACCCGCTGGAACTCCAGTTATGATATGCTTGAGAGGTACCTTGAACAGCAAGCAGCTGTGTACTCTGCACTGACAGAAAAGGCCCTCAAGAAGAATAAAGAAATAAGCACGTTGTCTGACCAGGATGTGAAAATGGCAGAGGAGGTACTTGAGGTTCTTAAACCACTAAAAACCATCACAACACTGATGAGCACTGAATCCACACCTTCAGTATCAATGATCCTCCCCCTAAAAACCACAGTCCTCAACTCTATGGCACCCAATGAGGAAGACAGTCCAACTGTGAGAGAAATCAAGGCTGCCATCACAGAAAACCTGAAGAACAGATACTCTGCTTGTCATGACTTCCTCCACAAATGCACAGCTCTTGATCCGAGGTTCAAGGCCCTTCCTCATGTGGATGATGCCTGTCGTGACAGAATCTACAACAACCTCATCACAGAAATTGTAACCATGGAAGAACAGGTATTGTGTTAATTTGCTTGTGTGTAAAATATCTTCATTGACATTGTATAATTTGAAATACTTTGCTGCTACAGTGCCAATAGTAGTAATTTATTAAAGTTAGTTTTGTCATTTTATTTTGCAGAGTGAGGAGGCCACAGCAGTTAGTTCATCTCCAGTGACAGGACACTCAGAGGCATCATCTCCTCCTGTCAAGAAGTCAGCCATGGCTGAACTGTTTGGTGAACTCTTCAAGACTCAGGTGGGAAACAAGCCTACTTTGCAGCTAGTGAAGGAAGAGGTTACCTTATACAAGTCTGTGGACTGCATTTCACTGGATTCCAACCCACTTGAATGGTGGAGGACCAATGAGCCCACATATCCTCATATTGCCAAGTTAGCAAAGCACTACCTTGCTGTACCTGCTACCTCAGTCCCTAGCGAGAGGGTATTTTCTACAGCTGGAGACATTGTAACTGCCAGTAGATCTTCCCTTTCTGCAGACAATGTGGACAAGTTAATTTTTTTGACAAAAAACATGAAAGTTGAATGAATCTGAGCAGGTCTAAAAACTGAAACTGTTGATGCTGCACTTTACACTTTGTAAAATTTATATATATATATTTTTTTTCATATGAGCAGGCCTAAAAGCTGGGATTGGTAATGCTCCACTGTTATCCATAGTTATTTTTTTTTATTTATTTTTATTTTATTATGTGATATTAGTTTGAGAGGATTTTATTTAGTGGAGAATTTTGCAGCAATATTTTATTTCTTATTCTTTTTTTGTTTTATATATATTTTATTTATTATATTTAATAAAAAGTGTGTTTAAAAAAGTTTAAACAAATTGTTAAAAAAGTGTAAACAAATTGTTAAAATAAAGTTTATAGTTAACTAAACAACCAGCAGTTTAATGTTTGCATTTCTTTCCCTTACTGTACCGAAAAATAACCGAACCGTGACTTTAAAACCGAGGTACGTACCGAACCGTGATTTTTGTGTACCGTTACACCCCTACCAGTTAAATGTGTCGAACATGGTTAACTCGCGTGCAGCGTGCGTGAGACTGAGACAATGAGATTAGTCAAAGACACATGGAGAAAGCAGATCAAGAGGATCCACAAAGGAAGTACGTTTTCTAAAGTGTTGTTGTTGTTAACATGATATGTTCAGGGGGAAATGAGCAGCAGCACCTGTAGACTACAGTTCCCTTTCGAGGGAACTCTCGATGCGTCACTTGACGCTTTGGGAACGCCCCCAGCGTGCATGCGTCTGAGCATCAATGTCAACTAGTCCAATGGAAAGAATGAGCGTCACAGGCGGGTGACGTCATGACCAGGAAGGGATAAAGGCTCTCCCGGTGAAACGCGGCATTTGCTTCTGTGTCTCAGCAAGCGATCTGTGTCATTTTGTCTCTGTCTATTTACTGTTGTCTGTTGCGGAAAAGGATGGAAACTAAACAAGTGTACAAACAGTGTGCTTCTCCCTGCCCGCGTTATTTAACGGGTGGGGACACACACGAGCTTTGTGTCGTTTGTTTGGGAGTGGAGCATGCGGTCTCAGCCTTCGAGGGGGCTGAGTGCCAGCATTGTGAGATGTTACCGCTTCGCATGCTCCGCTCTCGCCTGTCACTCTTTGATAAAGAGAGTGGGCAGGCTCGCGATCCGCAGGGATCAGGACCCGCGTCTGCTGAGGCAGCGCGGAGATTGCATTCCTGGGGATCGCAAAAGGAACTTTCGGAGGGGTTGGAGACGGGTCCGAGGGCTCTTTCTCCTTCCTTACCCGAGAGATCCAATGCTCTCCCCCCGGTGTCGGAAGCACGCTCTGCGGTTTCTTCCGCCCGGGGAGAGAGCCCTCCATTACTTTATTGCTCTTCCTCCGAGGAGGTTGATGCGATGAGTTTGGAGAGTGAAAGCACACACATGGGGGAAAGAGATTCACTATTTATTTCCCCAGCATATGATGAGCTGGTGGATGTTATGTCGCGGGCTGTAGAGAAATTAAATATTGAATGGCCATCTGAGAAGAAGGGCGCTCGTCCTAAAAGCAAATTAGATGAGCGCTTTTTATCTTCCACCACATTATCTCCACCACGAGGGCTTCCATTTTTTCCTGATTTGCACAATGAAATATCTAAATCGTGGAATAAACCTTACTCATCACGTCTTTTCAGCCCTCAAGTTAACACTTATTCGAGAATAAGAGGGCTGAAAGAGTATGGTTATGAGGCGATGCCCCAGGCGGAAGAGAATTTAGCCAGTTATCTTTCCCCTGGTCCCGCATCGTCTCTGAAAGCCTCGGCTTTGCCCACTAGACCGCTCAAAGCCACTTCGGTGTTAGTGGGCAAAGCTTATACGGCAGCAGGTCAAGCTGGAGCATGTCTGCATACTATTGTGGTGGAAAATTTGAACTGAATATTAAGAAAACCATGTTTTAATATTTGACCTTGTTTAACCTGCTAAATCTCTAAAAACCATGTTCTAAGACTTTCTGTATTTTACATGAATGTGTGTGTGTCGAACCCCTGACTGTGTGTATAAATAACAAATATGGGAAATGAAACTAGACAGATGACTAAGTTAGAACTTGTGATCAATGAAGTAATCGTCAAAACATATTCTTCTCTACCCAGTAACAGAAGAGACTGTAAATGAATAACCAATCAAATTAATGTCATTATGCCATACCTCCCGTTTGTATAAAAACTGTTGTTTCCGTGTTTTCGGTGGGATTCTCAATGGAAATTGTCTGAGATCCTCCGGCCTTATTTATTCTTGGGAGATTCTCTGAGAAATGCTCGAGAACTCCTGGCCGTAATAAAGAGCATTCAAGGGACATCTACTGAAGTCTGTCTGTCATTTAAGCTGCGCAGCAAAGGAGTTGTTAGGGAAAGGAAAAACTCGAAGCTAAGACGTCGACTGTGGACGTAGAGAGCTTGAGTAGGGTAGTTTAGAAAACTCGAAGCTAAGACGTCGACTGTGGACGTAGAGAGCTTGAGTAGGGTAGTTTAGAAAACTCGAAGCTAAGACGTCGACTGTGGACGTAGAGAGCTTGAGTAGGGTAGGATTAGAAGAAAAACTCAGCGGTTGTCGATTGTAGACAAAGGGAGCTGGAGTTTTACAGAGTGAGCATTTTAGGAAAAGCGGATAGTCAGATTATAGGTTAGCATTAGAAAAGAAAATCCATCACAATTTGGCGAGCCACAGGAGCCCAAGGACTGGTCCCTCCATCGGCGAGAAGGACGTTCCGGAAGAGCGGACAAGATATAGGTTCTGAAAAAAGGAACTTGTATCTCTCATTATTTTGATTTAATTTCTGCCAAATTTGCAGCAGATCCTACACCGACGGAGGGACCATCCTGGACGGGCAGAGAAAAAAGAACTTAGGAAGGTAGGATATACAGACTTCAGTTTTTGTTTTCCTTTTGATGTGTAAAGTAAAACATTTTTTGTGCGTATTAATTTTTTTTTATTTTTTTTTAAGATAAGATTTTGGAACGTGTTTTGAAATTAAAATGTTCCAGATCTGTTGAAAAAAAAAAAGAGAAGAGAAGAGAAAAAACTGGCTGAGCCCAGGTTTAAACGGTGTATCCCATTATCCTATGGAGAAGACGAAAGTCAACTAAATTTACCTATTTAACAATATATAGGCTACATATGTACGACGACATATAGAATTGAGATTAAGTGGTCAGATAGAAAAAATATTTGAAGGAAATTGGTGATCACATTTAAAAAAAAAAAGTTTTTACCTTGTCTATTAAGGGCAATGAGCAATGATTATGGTTAAATTCAACCAAATTGGTATTTGTTGAGTATTGTATTTGTTGTGTCAATAAAACTTCCAAAGAGAGCAACTTTGTCATGCTGGAAATCAGATCCGGGAGGGAAAAATGCCCCGAGATGCTGTAGAGCTGCAATTTGCTTTTTGTTTGAAGTTTTGTTTGAATAAAGGTTTAATTCTGAGAGAATATAAAGATACAGTTGAAAGAGTTGAGACAAGATACATGGATCAATATTGTTAACATTTATGAATTTTTACATTTTGAAAAAATTACAGAAATTGTTAAAGTTATAAATCATAATAATAGGAATATGCACCCGTGAAACATTCTGAGATAATTAGGAAATTTTGAATCATAAAGAAACTTTTGTGAGTTAAACTTTGATTTATTTATGTGGATGAGATAAAGTATACTGAGCAATTAGGTGCTCTTAAAGTAATAAATAAATAATAAGATATTAAGAACACGTGTTTAAATATTATACTTTCTATCTGAAGGTGTTTAGAATTTGTATCCCGTTATCCCTGGGAGACAGTGTGAAAGAACTTGAAAAAAATTGATCCATTGCAGAGATTCTAAGAGCAAATGGTTTATGTTTAACTAAGAGAATTTTTGTGCATTGAGCATTATATGAGAATGAGCTTGGGTGACCAATTTAAATATAAATTGTGATTTGAACAAGCACATAACAGGCATCATATAGTCATTTTATTTTGGTTTCTTGAAGAAAAAGAAAGAAGAAAAGACAAAAGAAATTCTCTTTACAATATACACTGTATTCTGAAGAGTAGTTTTCTTGCTTTTTTCCTGCGTCTTTGCAACGAAGAAACGCTTGCTTTTTCCCGCAATGAAGTACGCTTTTTGATAAAATGAGGAACTGCTGTCTTGATAACCAGATGAGATTTTTAGTTATTAAACTATAAGTTTAATTTGAGTTTTGCGGTTCTCTGAGTGTTCAAGAATTTCAGACACCAGCCTTGAACAGTTGGATGACTGTGGAGAGAGAAAGAGGAAGTGGTGCCCTCAGCTCCCCAGCTCCTGAAAGAGGAAGTGGACCCTTCTGAGGGGTCAACTCAAGACAGTTCACTTGAGGTGACAATTCATTTGAGACTTTTCCTAAAGACAATTTTGCCATACATTATGGAATTTTGTGCCAGGGTGAATCAAAAGCCAGACCGAGAGTGCCATCGCAGCCTGATGATCAAACGTATCAGCCCAACAAGTCAACTGAACGACAATCCACACAGAAAAGAAAGACCTCCATCCCCTCACTTGTGGGCCAGTTGCTGAATTTTCAATGATCACTACAGAGAACGTTTCAAATTTAGTTAATTATCATATTAACTTGATTATTGTTTTTGATTATCCACTGGTTTCAGCAATTCTTCATATTTCTTAAACTAACACTTTGAATCTGCTTCCAATAGGACCAGTCCAGCTGCCCTACTACAGTAAGTTCAATAGCAATAGCAGAAGTGGGAGATTGACTCACCAATCAGTTAAAACACTGGGGCTGGATTTGGCATAGTGAGGGTTATTACACTAACCAACTAGTGGTAAAAGTATGAATAGGTTATTGACTATGCAGAATTATCTGGAAAGGGAAATATAGGGCATAAGGTGTCTAAAAAGACATGGCTAGAAAAGCAACAATATTGGTCACTCCATTTCATTTAAAGGTAATTCTCTGGATTCAATAAGAATAATGAATCTAAAATTTTAAACTTTTGAAATCACATGCTGTCATCACCAGGGGTACGAGATGGAAATGTTTTATTTTTGTCCAAAGATTGAAAATTGTGTGAAGATTTCCAAATCTTCTTTTAAATAGCTTAGGAGCAACAACAAAAAGGTTTGAAAAATTGAAATTGTGTAAT